GCGCTCTTCCGCAGCTGATGCATCGCTCCTCTGATAGTTCAACAACCGCGGAATTCTCGCAATGGCAAACTCGGGTCCGGATACCAACAAGTCCCAGTTCTTCATCACCTACGCCAAGCAGCCCCACCTCGATGGCAAGTACACCATCTTCGGCAAGGTGGGCATCCCACCTTCTCCAGCACCTCATCGCGCTCGCCACCCTGATTGCACGCTAACTGCACTGACAGGTGATAGATGGTGCCGACTCCACCCTCGACGCCATGGAGCGTGTGCCCGTGAATGCAAAGAACAGGCCCCTCCACGAGATCCGTACTACCCATGTACGTAACGCTCTCCCGCGTATCGTGAGACAGACCGTCGTGCACATATCAATCGCTCTGTCTCATCCAACGATGATGTGCTCACTTCTGACCACCATCTGTTCTCCCAGGTCACAATCCATGCAAATCCCATCGCAGACGCGCAGCTCGTCGGACGATGACCGCGCTGCTGCACCGTGCATATCACGTTCCATGTACAACACTCTTCCTCGGCCCCCACCTCCCACGGCTCCGAGCTCTCTCGGCCCTTGGATGGCTCAACGGCCAAAAAAATATCTGTTAAACTCTACGGACCCTGTCTATCACGACGAACTCCTGCTTATTGTCTGTATACTTAGCACTTGCCGCTCGGAGATTTCCCAATCGCGTCCTTAATCTCCACCTCTCTCCCCTGCTGGCCGCTGTGCGCTGAATAGGCTTTTCGGACGTCCGGTTCACCTCTGACGTGGCTCACCGCGTGAACGCTGTCTAGCTCGCGCGTTCTCATGACACAGGCACCCAACAAGGCAAGAAGCGACCCCCGTGCCAGACGTCCAGCCTCCAGAAAATCAAGGGTGTGTTCGCGCATCGCCGCTCCGGGGCGCGCGCTACACGGGCCTCGGGAGGCCTCGTCACCTCTGCACACCGCATATGCACTGCAGCGAGGAGGGCGACTACGACTCCATTGCCACTCGCCACACCGCTCGGTGGGTGCCCATCAAGGTGCGTCTCCGCGAGTGATCTGCAGGTGGCGGCGCAACGGTGAGAACGCCCACCCGCCACCCAGCGCGCGGATACGGGCATGGCGGCAGTGCTAGTGAATGACCGGTGCTGGGACCTGCACGGCACCGAACCTTCGTCTTCACCCCTTCTCTGCCAGACTCCAGTGCGGCCTTCCCTGTAGATCGGAAGCAGAGCGCATGTTGCGCAACGCGAAGGTCACTGCGGTCAGTGGTTGGCAGCCAGCCCCCGGACCTAGTGCAGTCGTGGTGACCGTATGACAGATGCCGTCGGAACTGGGCAGGGGGCTTCGCTGCACCTGCAGTAAGTAGGTTCTGCAAGCAACACCACCAGCCTGTGCATCCGGTTGCAGAGTCTGGGAAGATCTACGTTCACTGACTGTCAGAAGGTCATAAGCTTCATCCAGGCCCGAGGACAACGACGACTTTAGCGTCGGCCGGCCTTCATCGTAATTACCCCTGCCGCACTACCGACGAGGGCGCTGCTCGCTGCCTGTGAGGATCGCAGCGGCACAAGGTCATCATGCTTCGCACGCGCGTTCCGTAGAGCTTGGAAGCCCACACTGCCCTGGATTGGCGCGGCGGAGCTGCCTGTGCAGCGACGGTCATGCGGAGTCTGTTTGAACAGCGGTGCACACTGCACAGAACGCCGCACTATGTTCTTCGGCGTCCGTGGACACTGGGTCGACGTCAGCCCTCGGAGTGTCTAACTCTTGCAGTGTCTGTAGATCGATAGCTATGCTACTACTCACTCCGAGGGACCTTGAACACACACACCCAGTTCCCCGCTCAGGCCAAAACGCAGCAGGGCCTAGGGTGTGTGTTCGGCCTGCCGTAAGCGCACGCCTACAGTTCCGTTCTTTCGCATCCCGTACTTACTCTTCTTGATTCGACAACGTGAAGGACGACAAGAAAACGATCGGTTGCAATCCATGACCATGATCACGACCTGATCAAGTACTGTACTTACAGAATCCCATGATTCAACCCGGTCTGAGAGTACCGCTCTGGTACCGCCGGGAACTTATAGTACCTCGCTTGCCGCAGTGTGGCGCGGTGCACCGCGTGAGGTTCGCGGGTATATATGTCGCCCCTGATCGAATGAAGATCGGCGTGCCTTCATTTGGCCGCGAGCCGCAGGATGAGCTTCGACGTGACGACGGACAGACAGACTAGACTCGCGAGTTGTGTAGAACTGAGTACATAGGTACTTATACTGAGCATACTACATAGCGAGACACGTCGACAGGGAAGGTATTCTACCCATAGTCATACGGATTCGAGACTCGAGTCAACGTTCGCATCACAACCGAGGTCCTGGAAGGTACATGCTACATACCGAACACGCTTAGAGTGGTTCAAGGCTGTCGCTCAAGCAAGATGAGAATACAATAATTGCACAGTAAGTAGCAAGTACCACCAACGTGCTGCATGCGCGATGTCAGGGTACCCAGACCAAGAGTGGTATACTTACTGGGACGTCATAGTATGTAAATAGCTTTGTGGTCGGGATCCAAACGGGTACACGAGGCACCGGCGGACGCGGCGAACCGGCGGTGAGCTCTTCGATCGAGGCAGATCGACATCCAGGGGCGCGAGACTAGTGGTCACCGAGCATATCGCATGTACCTGCATTCGGGCGGGAACATACCATAGCGACGCCTGACGTCTGCGCCGTGCGGTGATCGTGGGGGGAAGCTGCGAGTAACAACCAGTCGATTGCGTGAGTAACGGTACAGGACAGATGAGGGGGCGGAGGCGGGCACGGAAGCTGCAGAAGAAGAGGAAGGGAGAGATTCGGTGCAAGTAGTAAACTAGCGATAGTAGTGGGCGAGGCACAGATAGTGAATAATTGTAGAGCAGAAATACAGGACAGCGCCGGAACCGTGGTGGTATGGAGAGGTATTGGAAGGATGAGATGTTGATGCCGGGGGAATTGGCTACATAGTAGTACAACATGTGAGCGGCCAGAGATATTACTTTTCTGTATGTACTTTGCCGAATGGATGCATTGATGCCGCGCAAGGTGCTATAGGTTATATAGCGTATGTGGCCGACCAATCTAGGAGGAACCATGGCCCTGGTCTCGGAGCTGGAGTGGGTCCGGAGGCCGTCTCGTCGTAGTGGTTGTTGCGAGGGGTTCACTGGTCGGACCAGGTCGAGGTATTCCAATATGAACTGTCCCAGCGTGAAGATGAGTATTTGATAAAGCAAGGAGAAGGCATGATTGACTTACGCGGGGAGGTCGACTGTGCGGGAAGAGTCCGCGAAGGGGAACGACGACTCGACGCCCGAACCGATGTTGATGGGCAGTTCTAAACGAAGGACGTTACCCATCCCAGGGAACTCAATCCTTAGGACCAAGGTATACTGTACTCAGGGCAGCTGAACCAACTGTAGCGAAACTCAGACCCCATTCGGCGACGTACCTTGATCTTCAACTGCTCGGTCAGGAACGTCGGCGTGAAGCGCAGGTTGATGTAGGAGTGGAACGAGACCTCCTGCGACCAACGCCCGCGGTCCGCCTTCTGTGCGTCCGGAAGCCAGACGTAGTTGCCGACCTCGACGTCGACTGGTGGTATCGGCGCATGGGCCTTCGAGATGATGTCCGTGACGAGCTCTTCGGGGTTTGAAGGTTCGTACGGGGTATCCATGTCGATGAACCGCCGGAGCTCGAAGTCTATCTCGGAGGGATTCCGGGGGGCGCACGGAAAGAGGCTCTTCTCGGGGGCAGCGTTGCCTTTCCGCTTCGTAGGTGCGCTGGTCGTCGTCACCACGATTGTGTACGGGATATCTGAGAAGAGAGGGAAGGTGTCCATATGCGGAACGAGCAGCTGGGAGAAGAGGCCGCTCAGTACGTGAGACTCTCTCACAAGGATCTAGCAGACTCACCTCGAGCTTCGCATGTGCATAATCACCCCACGGATACTTGCGTATGTTATTCTCTACCTTCAACCTCCCCCACGTCTCCTGCCAGCCGAGCTTGAGCTGCGCGCGAATCCCGCTGCCTATCGGGTCGGACTGGAGGACGACAATAGGCGTCTTAACCGTGCGGTCGACCGCGAAGGTGCCCGTGCGCACGCCAGTGATCTCAACCGCGTACCGGACGTACGCGTTGTTCATGTAGGACTCGAACTGGAACGACGGGGGCGCGTCCTCCGGCAGCTTCAGCTCGAACGGCAGGACGAGCGTACTCCCGCCCGTCGGCGATACGCTGCCGTCTCTCCTCCACAGCGTCAAGGGCCTCCGCAGGAACTCATTCGTCTCGACCTGGAACTGGTCCGCCTCGCCGCCCATCCGGTTCTTGCTGTCAGCAAGCAAAGTCAGACTCAAACAGACACGCGCGCGCGAGAGAGAGGTGCGACTCACGTCTGAATCGTCCCCTGGAGCTCAACGTACACCCTGTCGATGTCGTCGTCGAGAGCCAGCTCGTGATCCAGCTCGAGCACACCCACGACGGACCCTCCAGAGACATAGATGGTGGGCGGAAGCGTAAGACGGAACGCCGGTTTCCGCATGGCGAGCGAGTACGCAGACTGGGGGTCGGGCATTGACATCATCTTCATTCAGCCAGTTGCAGCCGCAGCAACGTCGGAGGGGAAGGCGACGCGCGAGGACGAGGAGAACGAGAAGGGGCTTCCGGACGCAGTTGAAACGAGAGACCTCGAGGTCGGGCGGTGGGGTATACATAACGACGCCTGTTGCCGGAAAAGTGGGCCGAAGCGTGGATTTTCTGGTCGACGAGGGGCGGGGCCCGAGATGGTGGCGGTCGGATGGGCACGCGAGACGATGGAGGACGCGCGGGGGCAGGGTGCTCCGAAGGTTTAGCACGGCACTAACCAGCTGCTCGCCCGGACTACAGAAAGGCTAAATCCTTCTCCGATCCCCTTCCGAGATCTGCTCTCCCTGGGCGCTTCGGACACCGCACGATAATATTCGCATGCACGGCTGGCCAGTCATCGTCCTTGTCGATTAGTGGTTAGATCATCACGTTGTGGACCTTTGGCCCTTATAAACCGTGAAGACGAAGGCTCGAATCCTTCCTGGGACATGACGCAGTGCATATCCTTTTTTGTCGTCCTCTATGGACTTTTCAGCGCTGCCGTGCCAGTGTAAAATAGGGCCGAGTCCCAAGCGAAGTTTTAGCGCGAAGAAACAACCCTCCAGAAACCAACTGACGCTGCAAGCCACGCGATGCATTGCAATCAGGTCTTCCCAAACTCGATGAGCGACCATATGGCGACCCGGTTATCCTGGCCCCCAGATACGAGCCACCTCGCCCTCTCCTCCTTCTCCACCTCGCTCATCTCATCTTCTTCGTCGCCCTCGCCACCACCTTCAGAGGTGCACGGAAGCAGTTGTGGCTGCGACCGCGCGACCGCGACCGCCTGGCAGCTCTTCTTGTGATAGCTGAGCGTGCCGAGGGGTTTGAACGACTTGGTCGAGTACAGACGGATCCTGCGTTATCCAGTCTCGTCAGTGTGTCGTCCGCTTTGATCGGGATTTTGCTCACCTTCCGTCCCATCCGCCTACGGCGCATACTCGCCCGTCGTCTTTGATAGTTACAGACGCGTTGCCCGGGTGCTTCGTCCTGTACACCGCGCATGCCGCTTCCCGCGTCTCCGGCCGCTCAGCGTCCTGTGGAGCTACGCCTTAGTAACCCGAGTCTGGAGTCGCCTGCGCGTGTTCTGGGGGGCCCTCAATGGTTCAATGACACGAAATAAAACTCACAGCAAAGTTGTAGCGGCCTATCAAGTGATCGGCAGAGACGGTTAGTGCAAACGAGTTATCCCTAGACACGGCCATCGCCATCACTACATGTATATAAATGACGTTGATGGTGTTCAGAAAGCCGTAAGGCGGTTGTATGGTTTGAAAGGGCGTACCGGATTCGACGTGGTGCTTGACGGACCACAGGACGTCCCAGCCCATGCCCTCTATGGACGTCTCTTTGTCGTCGCGCGTGTACTCGCGCATCGTCACGCTGCCGTTCTCATACGAGCAGAGCAGCCGCAGGCGCGTGCGATCTGCGGCGTGTGGGTGGGGCACACTCATGAGGTGCATCGACATGATGATTCCTGTGCGCGACAGATTAGAGTCCTGTGCATCCGTACGACACTGAGGAGTCGAGCAATACCTATGGCATTGCGGGTTTCTCTTCCGTCGAGTGCGGGAGATGTCTGTCCTTCTTTGCCAATGGCAGCATGTAACCTCTGCTTCCCTGGCAAAGTCCAGACGTCGGCCTGTAACATCATCCTTTAAGTCTCCTGTCGTCAAGGGAGGACGTCGAAACGGACTTACATACGACGACTCGACCAAGTTCGGGACAGCGATCAAGGCATGACAGTCGTCCGTGCGCTTTTCAGAAGAAAGAGGCAGCAGACCGAATCGACAAAAGTTCAGCGCGTTCACGTCGAGCGAGTAGCACAGCTGCGGAGCCTGCAGGCCAGGTAGGGCGGCGGAGCCTCCCAGAGTTCTCGAGGGTTCAAAGACGCCTTTCCAGACGTGCAGCTTGTTATCCCTTCCATGTCTAGCCGAGCCAAGTCTATCAGTACCCCATGCGAGCTCGAGAGTCAGAATGCACGAACGGACGTCAGGATTTGCCCTTCAAACTCTTGTAGACCCAGGAGACCGTCCGTATGCGCTTTCCAATTCGCCAGTGCACGCAAGCTCCTCGTCGAGGTCACGACGACCACGCCAACAGCATCGCCCGAGAGAATGCGCTCGTTGTCGTCCGAAAAGCACACGACGTTGACCTGCGCGCCGTGGCTGCGCACGATGTGTTTAGGTGTTGGGGGAGGCGGCGGGGTTGACATCGTGGGTGAGATTCAATTATGAAGACTTCGGAATCGACGTCACGGTCGAGCTGCGCGTTTGTATTCAGTCGGTTAGCGACTAGTCCGGCGTCCAGATTCGTGGAAAGGTTGTTGCGGTGACCCTAGTGCAAACGGGTATGATCGCCGCGGTGGAAGTTGGTGGAAGAAACAGAGATCGGGTGGCACGTGTGTAAGGTCCTCCCTGCCCCGATTGCGATCTCTGATTCAATCAATACGCTCAAACATGACCTCACTACTTATATGTAGGTTGCCGGCAAGAGTTAACATAGATGTACCGAGAGAAAGAGCCACATTCAGCAAACCAATGCTGGCGAGGGATACTGCAGGGTGATACGGGAGATCTCGCCGGGCAAGACCGGTATATCTCCGATATTCTGGCGGGGATGATAGGCACAGTACGTTGTCGTTGGCTACGTCGACATCTTTTGCGCCATGATGCCAATAAGCAACCGCCATTTGGGCTGGACGTTGAGCGCACGACCGGTGGTGGTGCGGCTAGCATGTACTTGTCTGCACACTGCACGGTGATGTTCACGTCGGGCCAAGGACAAGCCAAGTGTCCCGCGGCGTACGCCACATCGGATCCTCATGCTTCCGGGCGCCGGCTTGCACCTGCACTCCGAAGCAGACCATGACTATGAGGTCGCAGCTGGCGGGTTTAGTTGAAAACGTGCGTGCTGTCGTCGTCAAATTGCAATACAATGCTTAGATGAAGCGAGTCAGATTGCATCACGAGTCGACCATAAGGCTTCCTCAACGCGACACTCTGGGACAAGCTATTGCCTCAATGGCGCGCATAAGAGATGCATGCATGTAAAACTTCTGCACGTGTGGCGTAATCGATGCTGAGACAGCCGGCGGACGCATGGAACACACCTCCTCGGAGACTCGGAGTTCAAACAACTCACTGCGGCGGTGAGTATGATCCAACCTCGAACGAGAGCGCACCCTCAGCCAACCACAGGCAGCGTTCAGTCGAAGACGCAGAAGACAGGATGGCGAGTATCAGATGGGGAGGCGGGAGAGATCAAGATGGGTGGGCACGGAAGATGTCAAGTGGCGCCGGCAGCGCTCCGGAAGGAGGAGGAGGGCCATGGTAACCGACTACGCGCGTCGTTGCCCCTTCATTTTGTTAGCCTGCGTGGCGCCAGTAAGCAACCTGGTAACGCACCCGAAAGTAAGTATAGATTCAACCCTCTTACTTATATGCACGTCCTTATCCACCCTCCTCCCTTTCTCTCCTCCGTCCTCCTCCTGGCCCATAGCGGTATCCCGTCCGTGGTGCATACACGCAGGCCTCCCCATCCCTCTCGGCTGCCCATTCCCCCAGCCAGACCACGGGGCACGACGACTCCGAAACGCGTCCTGACGCAACTGTCATTCCTTTCGAACCAGCCACTCTTTACAGTCCGACCTGTTTACTCCCGCAGCACGCGACGACTCTAGTCTAATTCCCCGGAACGCATCTCTCCAACGAAATGGCTCCCCACTTCACCTTCGTCGCCCGTGACGATCCCACAGACGAGGACACGTCCATCAACCCAATCATCATCGCCGGAATCGTCGTCGCAGCTGTCATTGGCGTCGGCGCCGCCCTTTGGCTCGGCATCCGGTGGTTCAGAAAACGTGCCGCGTCGAAGCGCAAGCAGCTGCGTGCCTCCGCCTTCGTCAATTTCAATGGATCAGACGACAGCATGAGCGAGAAGTCGCCTATTTCCAGGTGCGTCATCTGTTTCCGTCGCGCAACCACGCCAGGCACTCAGCGCGGACGTAGCGCGGGCCTTCCCCTCTCCGGAAAGGGCATATTCTCGCGCACCCAGCTCGACAGCGGCGTCATCATGCCAGAACGCGCCGTCTTGCGCCCCGGCGCGTCGCGCGACGAGATTCTCGAACACTACGCTGCCGAGGGTAAGCTGCCCCGACCCTTCGCGCCCTTCGCGCCCGCGGCCCCTCCTCCCGCACTCGCAGTCGACACGAGCATCGGGCCGGTCGGTGCTGGTATGCTTCCCTCCGGCCGCCCGTCCTCCACCTCCTCCTGGCTCTCGCCCGTCTTCCCCCTCGCCAGCGGCCGCAACTCGCGCCGCTTCTCCGCCATGTCCGCGATGTCGGGCACGTCCTCGATCGGTTCGAACGGCGCAACGCAGAAGAAGGTCCGCCAGGTCTTCGACCCCGTCCTCCCCGACGAACTCGTCGTCTCGCTCGGAGAGACAGTCACCCTCGTGCAGCAGCACGATGACGGCTGGTGCATCGTCGGTCGCGACAGCGCGTTCAAGCCGGGTGAGGTCGAGCTCGGCGCGGTCCCTGCGTGGTGCTTCCTCAAGCCCGTGAAGGGCCTCCGTGCGGAGCGGCCGATGCGGGTCTCCAGTCTCGGTGTCACCGTGAACCTTGACGCGGCGCCCGGGATCGACCACCGCGAGAACGTCATGTCGTGGTCCAACTTCTAAACTTCTGAAGCTGAAGATCCAATCTACGAAAGCCTGTACCTGTCCCTTGCCACACATCCCCCTCGCTCACTGTCTGTTGCCACATCTCTCCCTGACCCCATACCGCTTCTTGTCCCATCCACCTCCTGCACGACGCTCCTCTCGCCTCGTCGCTCTCTATATACCATCGGGCACGCTAGTATATGCTCGCACCCCTCCCCTGCGCCATGGCGCGCAGCATTCACTTCTTGCACGTCTCCCCAGTAGACGTTCCCCAGAGGATTTGGTCCTTGGCGCGGCTGTGCTCTGTACATGCTCAGTCCCTTTCCCTCTTGCCTCGTGAAATCGCTCTTATCGAATTCTGCTTCATCTCTCGCGAGTGCCCTCAGCCCGCCACGCCTTGTGTTTTGTAGGATAACCGCTCCGCGTTCTGCTCGCTGCTATCAAGTCGTTGCATGTTACCAGTTGCAATCCATACCTCTGCACCAACCGTTCGCCCGCTGCACTGGTCCCCCGCCTGATTCCCTGACGTAGATGCACCAGTGTTTGCCGTAATAGATACTTAGAACGTACGTATACTTTCTTTTGCAAGTTCGCGCGCTCGGAAGCTATCCCGGTATATCAACATGTTGACATGTATCTGTACGTGCGTGCCCCCGCAAACGCAACGCAGCAGTGTTGCTGTGTGCTACCTCCTCTTAGAGCATTGGCCATCATCGTATTGATCGTCCCGGTTTGGAGAACGAACCAACTTGCGTGCGTGCTATGATAGAAGGTAGATATGTCGCGCC